TTATGTATACAACATTCTGTCTGTGTGTATGCCTGCAGTCCAGAAGAGGGCACCAGACCCCATTACAGATGGCTGTGAGCCACCATGTGGTTGCTGGGAATTGAACTCAGGACCTTTGGAAGAGCAGGCAATGCTCTTAACCTCTGAGCCATCTCTCCAGCCCCCCAGTGAGGCATTCTTGTTTTGCTTCCAATGAGTCTGGCTGGTGACTGTGACTTGGCCTTTCCTCTTCCCGAATTCTCTTAGTCTGGTTGCATGCCTATACTTCCTGCCTGCTACTGGCCAATCAGCATTTTATTAAACCAATACTAGTGACAAATCTTTACAGTGTACAGGAGCATTATCCCATAACAAGTTGTTTGGAAAGTACTTGTACATATGTATGCATTTGCTTTTGTCAAAAGATTAAGTCTTTATTAAGCAGTAGTGGAATAGCATTTTTTGTATATAGTGATAAAAGGAAGTGGTGTATGTATTTTATTTAGAAATAAATCTGCAATTTGCTTGTTTAAGGTTTAGATTAATGAAAAATGTACTTTTACAATTTTGTCCATGTGTAACTTAACCTAATTATTAGAAGGTGTTGAATGCATTTTACCTTTTTTATGATGCTTTAACCATTTCAAATTGAGAGATCTGTTTGCTTTAGCTTAGAAGTTTCTTGAAAATTATATTTCAGTTTTAACTTTTCTTTTTATATTGTATAGATGTGAAAATCACCATGAAAAACTCAGTGTATTTTGCTGGACTTGTAAGAAGTGTATCTGCCATCAGTGTGCACTTTGGGGAGGAATGGTAAGCAGAACAAATTCAGCATATACCCTTTGGTTTAGATACTAGAAGGCATTGGTATAACTAGTTGATTAGATGGAATTAAGCATCATTTTACTTTGTTGGGTGAAAAATGTTCCTGTCTTATGCATTTTAGAGGTATTGTACCTTCTGCTGTTCCTGAAGACGCTTTTTGGTCAGGAGTGTAGATATAGGATGGATACTGCTTTCATAGCTTAATGTCTATAAAATATGTGTTAACATTTAACTTTTATTTTTCTCCTTCCCTCTTTCCTCCTTCCTTTTTTTGTGATGTTGGCGATGAACTCAGACCTTATGCTTGCTGGGTCAGTGCCATGTCAGTAAGTTACATCCGCAGGCCAGGACCAGTGTCTTTGATTTGGGTACTGGTCAGTTGATCTTTACACTTTAGATGCTTCTAAATGTGAGTGCAAATAGCTATATTATTTAACATTTTTATTTTTTAGTTTCTTTTTCTAATCTTGTTCAGAGGTCCTCACTTTTCCAGGGTTGTTGCCTCCTCCCACCATCCAGCATGCAATCTTCTCCTTGGCTTAAAAGATGGTTTTTTTTTTTTTTTTATTTTGAGACTGGATCTCACTATGTAGAATAGACAAGCCTTAAACTTCAGGTTTTTCTGCTTCAGCGTCCCTAGTCCTGAGATATAGTTATATGGTGTCTGACTAAAATTTTTTTATTTTTTTATTTTTATTGAGCTCTACATTTTTCTGTGCTCCCTTTCCTGCCTCTCCCCTCCCCTTCAACCCTCTCCCAAGGTCCCCATGCTCCCAATTTACTAAGGAGATCTTGTCTCTTTTTTTTTAATTCCCATGTAGATTAGATCCATGTATGTCTCTCTTAGGGTCCTCATTGTTGTCTAGGTTCTCTGGGATTGTGATTTGTGGGCTGATTTTTTTGCTTTTTGTCTAAAAACCACTTATGAGTGAGTACATGTGATAGTTGTCTTTCTGTATCTGGGTTACCTCACTCCATATGATGTTTTCTAGCTCCATCCATTTGCCTACAAAATTCAAGATGTTGTTATTTTGGCTAAAAGATTTTTAAGCCAACCTACCTTTATCAAGTCCGAAGTATTCATAGTAGCCTTTCTAGAAGCAGCTTTTGCTTAATATCTGTGTTCCATTACTTAATAGTCAATTAAGTCATTTATATTTAGTACAACAGCATAAATAGGTTGAGATTGATACAGTAAGAGTTTTTGTTTTGTCCGTGTTGAAGATTCAGACCCCCCCTCCCCATCTGCTAGAAAAAATGTTCTGTCACTGCCCTCCAACCTTAGACTAAAACAATAGATTCTTAGTGGGGAAGTAAAAGTTTATCTACATCAGTTATTACCTAATTCATGTTAATTATGGGACTTGATCATTCTGTGGCTAATAGGCTGTGTGTTTTACAGAGAATATGGCAGGCTGAGCTGGTTGAGTAGTGCTCAGTCAGAGAGCTCTGTCTGAGTTTGTTTGAGTTTCCAGTCTTATGTACTGACTGGAAAAAATTTAAGTACCACTATTTGTTGTCTAAGCTAGTTTTATAAGAGGCTCAAGAGACATCCTCAGAATCAACATTTAAAAATATCCATATCAGGGGCTGGAGAGATGCTCAGAGGTTAAGAACACTGGCTGCTCTTCCAGGGTTTTGAGTTCAGTTCCCAGAAACTACATGGTGGCTCACAGCCATCTACAGTGAGATCTTGTGTCCTCTTCTGGCACTCAGGATAAATATGTAATAAATAAATAAATAAATCTTTAAAAAAAAACCACATCATCTGGGAGTGGTGGCATATGCTTTTAATCCCAGAACCCATGAGGCAAAGATGATTTTTTTTCCCCCAAAACTATAGTTAATGCAAATAAAATAGGACAGTCAAACCTTTTGTCCCACACTGCAGTAAAAAAACCTTAGAAACCTGTTCTCTATAATGAATTCCATGACAGGACGAATTGGCCAGGCAGAAGTCCTTGTGGAGAGATCACAGGAGGAATTTTCACAGGGTAATTCAGGTGTCTGGCCTTGCTAGATATAAGTCCTTCAGAGATTTATAGTGAATTAGGATGGTATTGCAGGTGCGTGTCCTTGTTATATCATAGTCCCTCAAGAAACCAATAGCACCTAAATGACTAAGCAAGTCCAGATATTATTTATTAATCTTAATAATATACTTAAAAAATATAAAATAGTACACATATTCTTTGCCTCTTCCTTAGGTCTCTTCATTGGTTTAGTTTCTTCCCTTTTTAGCCTTTGTAGAGGCCCTTTAAGAGGTGACTGAGAGTTCCTCACGGCTGAAGCTGTGGTTAGCTACAAACCAGCTTATTAAGTTTTGCTACATATCTTCAAAGAATGCCTGTGTCCCTGAGAATTTTCCTTGTAGTTTTTTTTATTCTTTTTTTTAACCAAAAGTTAGTTTATTAAATAACAATAATTCAATACAAATAAGTTTAAATATATTTTATGAAATTTCTATGTTTAAAGATCTCTGAGAAGAATGTAGTAGGACCGGCTGTGCTGTTTTTTTTTTTTTTTTTATTCTTAACAAGTTGTTAATGAATGGGTACGCGCACACATGCGAGAATTAGAATTGGAATAGGAGTTAAGATAGAGAATTAGAACTAAGAAATTAAAGCAGAACTATAAAGAGACATGACTGGAGCCGCAAACATGTGAGTCTTCCCTCAGGTTAGAGCTATCCTAAGATCCCTTTCACTACCCTGAGGCAACCTACCGAACCCTGGGAGGAAGTCAGCAGAACTGTGTTTTGCTGTCTTTCGATAACAAAGAAACTCTGTCTTGAGAGGAAAAAAAATCCACGGTTCATCAGTTTAGAACACTTGTTGCTCTTGCAGAGAACCTGGGTTCAATTCCCAGTCCTACGTGATGGCTTATAAGCATCCATAACTCCATCTATATAGCCATCTATAACTCCAGTTCCAGGGCATCTTCTGATCTCTGTGGGGTACCAGGCGTACATGTAGTATACATACATAGACATTCAGGTAAACCCTTCATACATATAAAATAAATCCAGGGGCTGGAGAGATGGCTCAGTGGTTAAGAGCATTGCCTGATCTTCCAAAGGTTCTGAGTTCAATTCCCAGCAACCACATGGTGGCTCACAACCATCTGTAATGAGATATGGTGCCCTCTTCTGACCTGTAGGACATACAGACAGAATATTGTAAGATAAATAAAATAAAATAAAATAAATAAATATCTTTAATAAATAAATAAATAAATCCAAAACAAAACAAAAAAATTCACAATTTTTTCTTGGAGACCATGGTGGGATGCTTTTGCTAAACAAAATATTTCTGACAGGGTTTCTCTGTGGTGGGCTGTCCTAGAACTCTTTGTAGACCAGGCTAGCCTTGAACTCAGAGATTCATCTGTCTTTGTCTCCCACGTGGTGGGATTAAAGGTATGTTTTGCCATGACTAACTCCATTATTTTTTTAATGTCTAGTATTTACATTTTTGATGGATTTACTACATTTTTCTAGGTAATTTTTTGGGATCACTGGCTTATGTTAAGATGGTGATATAAAAAGCTGAAATTCATTTGAAAATATTTACCAGTTTGATCGTTGTCCATAGAATGCTAAAGAGAAATGTAAATGTAGCTGGAGTGCATGAAACCTCCTCACACTGCTCATATTAACTTCTGTAGCATGGTGGACACACGTTTAAACCTTTGGCAGAAATTTATGAACAGCATGTCACTAAGGTTAATGAAGAGGTAGCCAAACTTCGTCGACGTCTCATGGAACTGATCAGCTTAGTTCAAGAAGTGGTAAGATTACTTTTACATGAGAATAATAACCTTTTTTGATTCTATAATGTATATTATATAATTTATATGTTGAAAGTCATATAGCTTATATGATATATGAGAGTCATATAACTTATATGTCAAGATTTTCAAAGTTCAAAGATTTGATGGGACAATAAACCTCAAATCTCAGTCAGCTTCAAACAGTAGAATTTATACCCATTGCTCTGGCATATAGGGATCAATTGGAGCCATGGAATTGCCTTTTATTTCTTTCTTTCAAGATCAAATGTATTCTTTCTTATTATTGTGTGTATGTGTAACTGTGTGGGTATACTTTTGCTATGGTGCACATATGGAGGTCAGAGGACAATTTTGTGGATTCTGGGGAGTGAACTTAGGTTGTCAGGATTGCATAGCAACTCCCTTAAGGTTTTAAGCCAATTCTCTAACCCAGGAATTGTTCTTTATAGATAGAGAATCAGTAGCAAATTAGAAAAATCTACTTGTTAGAGGGTAAATTGACATCTAAGTAGTGCTATTATCGACACTGTGTGTTTGTTGGGGTAGTGGTGCATGCAAAGGCCTGAAGTCATCCTCAGGTGTCATTCCTCAGGAGACATCCACCTAGTATTTTGAGACAGGGTCTCATGGTGTCAATTTATGGTCAACAATTAGGCAAGGCTGGTGGGCCAGCAAACTCTAGAGACCCCCCTCCCCTTCTTTGCCTCTACAGCACTGACTTCTGAATGTGGATGCTGGTGGTCAAACTTAGGTTTACATACTCATATAGCAAGCACTTCATTAACTGAGCCATCTGTCCAGCCCCAGTATTGACTTCGTAATCATTCAGTATTTAAATCCCCAGCTTTTGGGAGGATTCTGCTTCCAGTGAGTGAAGTATTTTAAAACATTTATTCTTTTAGATTTATTTTTTTGTTTTATGTGTATGAATGTTTTGCCTTTGTGTATGTATGAGCACCATGAGCATGCCTGGTGCCCTTGCAGTTCAGAAGTAGGCTTTGGATTTCTTGGAAGCAGAGTTACAGTTGGTTATGAGCCGCTATGGCTCATTTTGTGTGTGTGTGTACTTATGTACGTACGTACGCCTACTATGACCTGTGTTTGGAAGTCAGAGGACATCTTGAAGGATTTGGTTTTTTTCTCTACTACGTAGATTCTAGGGATTGTGTTCAGGTTGTCAGGGTGGGTGACAGTCATCTTCACCTCCCAGGTCAATTTTCTGACCCCAAATTTACGGATTTTTTTAAAAAAGCAGTTTTACCTGTGCAGTACAATTAAAATTTTGGTTATGAATTTAAAAAAGTAATTAATGGATTTTAAGAGTAATCACAGTGTTTGCATTATGTCCTTGTTTGTCTTCCAGGAAAGAAACGTAGAAGCTGTAAGAAATGCAAAGGACGAGCGTGTTCGGGAGATTAGGAATGCAGTGGAGATGATGATTGCACGGTTAGATACGCAGCTGAAGAATAAGCTCATAACACTCATGGGTGAGTGTGTTTTCTTCTGCTGGAGACCGTGGTACCCTGACCTTGTTTGTGCTCAGTCTTTAAGGAGTGGATTGATGAGTTGTTAGGACTAAAAGGAATCTTAAGATTATAGGCAACTCCATGCTGTATAATCTGGACTACAAATCTGACTTCTATTGAGAAATTATCAAAACCTTTTTCACAGCCTAAATAGTCTGTGAACCTCAGTGAATAGGTAGCTTTTTTTTCTTCTATAACTAAGAAAAAAAAATTCACTATCAGTGTCTCTTTCTTTTATTCTGTCTTCACTAAAAGTGAAATACTGCTGGGTGGTGTTGGCGCAGCACTTGGGAAGCAGAGGCAGGAGGATATTTGTGAGTTCTACAAGAGCTAGTTGCCAGGACATTCTCCAAATTCTCCAAAGCTACAGAGAAACCCTGTCCCAAAAAAAAAAAAAAAAAAAAAGGAAAGTGAAATACTAGGCTGGGAGGTAGAGGCAGGTGAATCTCTGTGAGCTCGAGGTCTACAGAGTGAGTTCTGTGATAGCCAGAGCTACACAGAGAGACCCTGTCTTGGGGAAAAGAAAGAGTGAAATGTTGATGTTTGTAAATATGAGCCATCTTAGCTTTTTCTGAGAGTTTTAAATTCAAGGTATTTGATTTTAAGTAGGTCTTACCTTAAATCTAAATTATATTTAATTATTGCTTACTCTTTGGGTTCTTCAAAGGTTTCTTCATTCTTCTTTCTTGTTTTTTTTTTTTTTGATTATTGTTGGTTTGTTCATTTATCTTTTTAAAGATAGGCTCTCACTGTGTAGCCTCAACCAATCTGGCCTAGAACTGGCTTAAACTGTAATCTTAAATTATGCAGTGTTTTACTGATACAACTAGCTTTATAATTTTCATTATGGCTCAAAATGATATATATAATCCTTAATAAGGTATGACGATATTTTATGCTCTGTTCTTTCCCAGGGTTTTCACTGTATCTTTCAGTTTGGGTATTCATGCATTAGTTCATGATGTTTTCATATTATTAATTTATACAATCTGTCTTCAGGTTGTTTTTTATTTTTTCAAATGTGGTAGTTTTAAAATATTTTGTTTAGGCTGGACATGGTGGTGCATACCTTTATTTCCCAGAACTTGGGAGGCAGAGGCAGGCAGAGTTTGAGGCCAGCCTGGTCTACAAAGCAAGTTCCAGAACAGGCTCTAAAGTTACACAGAGAAACCCTATCTCGAAAAAGCAAAAGCAAAAAGAAGTAGAAGGGGAGAACCAACTCTACATATATAGTAATCCTCAGAACAAACACCCACACATTACACACGCACACAACCCTCCACACCCTACCCACTCCCACCCCCCACAATTAAAAAAAAGATTCCTGCCAGGCAGTGGTGCAGCACACCTTTGATCCCAGCACTCAGGAGGCAGAGGCAGGAAGATCTCGGTGAGTCCCAGAACAGGTAGAACTACACAGAGAAAAACCTGTTTTGTCACCATGCCCTCCCCAAAAAGAAAAGACTCCTATTGTTTAACAAGATGGCTCAGCCAGTAAAGGCCCCGACTGCCAGGCCTGATGATCTCAGTTCAGTTTGCACAGCCCACTTGGTGGAAGGAGAGAACTGACTCCCAAAGTTGCCTCTGACTGCTATACACGTGCTGTGGCATGAACGGCCCTTACCTCCCACAATCAAAAAAATTAAAATTTCCCTCTGTTTTTTCTTGGAGACAAGGTCTTACTAGTTTCTGGCTGTTCTGGAATTCACTATGAAGATCAGGCTGGCTTCAAACTCAGAGATGAGATCCACTTCTCCCTGTCTTCTGAGTGCTAGGATTAAAAGCACCACTATGCCTCTTTGGTTAAAAAAATAATAATAATATTAAGGCAAATAAGCTACTTAAAGTATTTTTGACTTTTAATATGATTTTGAATAATTACCAAATGCATGCTTGCATGTAGCATTGCCTTTTGTTTATAAGTTTTCCTCTTTAATCAACTAAAAATCAAGTATATCAGCAGTTTAGGTTTTTAAAATTTAGTTAAGAAATATATGTGTGTATTTGTGGTATATGCATGTGTGTGTGAATATAAAACTTTGTGCATATGTAGTGGATAAAGGTTAAAGTTTGGGGTATCCTTCCCAACCCCTTTTTACAATTTTTAACTTTTTTTTTAAATTTTTTTTTAAATTTTTAACTTTTTAAAGAAGATTTATTTATTTTTAATTTTGTGTGGATATTTGTACATGTTAATGCGGTGCCCAAAGAATCCAGAAGAGGGCATTTGATTACCTCCACCTGGAGCCGGAGTTGCTAGTTATGAACTGCCCTGACAAGGGTGTTAGGAACCAACCTTGGTCCTCTCCAAGAGCAGTACATATTCTTAACCATTGAGCTCTTTCTCCAGTTTCTCCACCTTACTGTTTTGGGACTGTATTTATATCCATCACTGAGCTTGGGATGCTGTTTTGGGTGTCCTGACTGATCACTGAGTTCCCAGGGATCTCCTGTTCCTTTCACCCTCCAGCCCTGGAGTTACAGGCACATACTGCTGTCCTTGCCAGGTCCTAATGCTCCTGGAGCTAGTACTTTACTCATGGAGCCAGCTCCAAGGTCTCTTGATGTCATAATTGAACAACTTCTTGAATTAGGGTTCTTTTTCAGTTAAATAATTGACTTTGCCTTTGTGTGGTTTTTAAAATTATTTTTTTGTTTTATTTTGTTTTGTTTTTTTTTCGAGACAGGGTTTCTCTATGTAACTTTTTCACAGTTACCCTTTAAAAATAATACATTTTGCAGGGTGGTGGCGGTGTACACCTTTAATCCTAGCACTTGGGAGACAGAGGCAGGTGGATCTCTGTGAGTTCAAGGCCAGCTTGGTCTACAGATTTGAGTTCCAGGACAGCCGGGGCTGTTCCACAGAGAAATCCTGTCTCAAAAACTAAAAGACAATTATATTCAGCCTCTTAAAGCTCTAGGAAAGTAATTGGGGTAAGTAATGAAGTTTTTCTCAGTTGCAGTGGATCTCTTTTAACTGAGTATGTTCATAGGACACTATCTCCTTCTTAAGTCTGTAGTCAACCTGAATGTTGTTTTTTGCTCTTTTAAATAGGTCAGAAGACATCTCTTACTCAAGAAACAGAGCTGTTGGAATCTTTACTTCAGGAGGTAGAGCATCAGGTGATGAAATACATTTGTTTATGTGCTGCTGAGTGAGCATTAAATATTAAATAGAATGAAATAGTCTTTGCTGAGCATGGATTATACAGCTGTAATCTCTGGGAGGCTGAGATAAAAGGACCATGAGTTTGATTCCAGCCTATGCTATATAGAACTTTTGAGGCCATCCTAGTCACAAAGTAAGTACCTAGACTTCATCTTAAAAAATAATATATTTATCTTTTCTTTATTCCTATTCTGTCTGTCTGTCTATCTCCCTATCTACTTATGTATGTATTCATCCATTTATCTTCATTCATTGATTCGTTGATATCATACAAATGACTTTTGGCACAAAAGTCATTTTGTTTTCTGAGGGATTTGATCATAAGGTGTGGTGAACTGGATGAGATGTCCCATATCGTTAGGCATTTGAATTAGTCCATGGTTGGTAGTGGTGTTTGGGGAGTCTTAGGAGGTGTGGCCTTACTGGATTAAGTGTATGATTTATGGTGGACTTTGAAGTTTAAAGGCTTCCACCAACCCCTTACTCTCACCTGTGTTTGCGCTGTCTGCTTCCTGTTTGTGATTGGAGATGTGAGTGCCTAGCCCTCAGCTTCTAGCTCTAATTGCCAGGCCTTCCTGCTGTCATGCTTGCCTGTCGTGTTGGTGATGGACTGTTCTCTCTCTGGAACTATAAACCCCAAAGGAAACCCTCCCTTTTATAAGTTTCCTTGGTCATGGTGTTTTATAACAGCATTCGAAAAGTAACTAATACACAAGGGTAAGATACTGTGCTCTATTTTAAAATATTCCCCACATCCGGACGGTTCTGGCACACACCATTAATCCCAGGAAGACAGAGGCAGGCGGGTTTCTGAGAGTTTGAGATCAGCCTGGTTTATAGAACTGATTTATAGAACCCTGTCTTGGAAAAGAAAAATTCCCCCAGACCCTTTGCTGGAGTAATTGGTAGGAGGAGATAGAAACTGTGGCATCAAAAGATTATGTGCTGTAGTGGAATTTTTTTTTTATAGAGAAGGTATTATCTGATTGTTAAGCTTTCTAGATAAGGTTTATAATATGTCAAAATAGGAAAATAGAAGTTTTTTTTTTTTTTTTTTTTTTTTTAAAGACTTGGAACTTTCTATGTACACCAGACTGGCCCCAAACTCTCAGATATCTGCTTGTCTCTGCCTCCTGAATGCTGGGAATTAAAAGTATGTACCACTACCATGCCTGGCTAGAATTGCTTTTTGTTGGGAATAGCCCACAGACATTTGCAAATTTATAAAAGGTAAAATTTTTCCATATGACTTAAATGATAGCTTTAAGATAGATGGTTATTGCCATTTACCTAAATGTATTGATTTTTTCCTTAAACTTAGCATTGAGAAAATACCTGTCGTATTTAGATAATAGGTATGGCTTTAGATTTGAAAAATATTTTAAATACATGTGTGGGTATATGCATGTGAGTGCTGGTGCCTGTGGAGGCCAGAGGGGAGCGTCAGGCTCCCTGCTGTATTTGTAGGTGGTTGTGTGCCACCCAGTGCGGGTGCTGAGAACTTTACTTTGGACTTCTGCAAGAGCAGTATGCACTTTTTAACTGCTGAGATGACTCTCCAGCCCCATTTTAGATGTTTGGGATATACCAGTGAACAAAATGGCAAAAATTCTTGCCTCATCAAATTTACTGGGGTCAGTTAAGCATAGCAGAGTAAATAAAACATAAATACTGTTACATTCACTTGTCTCAAATTTGTTTTTTTCTAATGCTTGTTTTAAAGGTGTGTGTGTATGTGTGGTAGATGTATGTTTGATTGTTCACATGGTTCTGATAGTTGAACTCGGGTCAGAGGAGTAAGCACTTTTACTAGTGAGCCACCTCACTGGCCTAGATAGAAATGCTTGTGTTTTTCTGTGTACCTGCTATGCAGCTGCCCCTCAGGGATCTCTTTAATGGAAATTTTCTTCTTTTCTTGTGTTGAATCTTTATTTCTTGGTTTCTGTGGCTACTATAGACTTGGTTTATTCATTTGCTTTGGTTTTGCACTTCCAGTAGCTTCCCAGGATAGCTAATCAGAATGAACCTTTTATTTCATGTCTGAAAACATTTTTATTTTGTCATTACACTTGATTGACAGTTTGGCTAGTATTTAGTACTCTTATTTTCATCTCAGTACTCTCATTCTTGTTAGTTTGTTTGTTTGAGACGGGATCTTGATACATACCTAAGCCCATGGTATCCTGGAACTTGCCGTATAGCACAGAAGGCTCTCCCTCTCATGATCCCCTTGTAATTTCTATTTGCCTGTGATTGATGGTGTTGAGAATCTTTTCTTATGTTTACTTGCTGTCCATATTTGTTAAGTTCTCTTTAAGTTTTGGCCTATAATTTTATTTATTTATTTAAGATTTTATTTATTATGTATACAATGTTCTGCCTCCATGTATGCCTGCAGGCCAGAAGAGGCACCAGATCTCATTACAGATGGTTGTGAGCCACCATGTGGTTGCTGGGAAGTGAACTCAGGACCTCTGGAAGAGCAGCCAGTGCTCTTAACCGCTGAGCCATCTCTCCAGCCCCCTTTTGTTAAGTTTTTATAACTCTTTCTTGTTTATCTCAGCTAGAGTTATGTTAACTTTTTGTTACTTGGACAAACTAAGAGAAAGAAAGGCCTATTTTCACAATGTTTCAGAGGTTTTGGTCCCTGGACCAGCGCCTCTGTTGCTTTGGGGGTCATAGCAAGGCAGTATGTACATCATGGTGCAAGAAACACGTTTTACTTGGACTGGGAATGAAGAAAGTGGCCAGAGTTCCAATATGCCCTTCAAGATATGGTCTAACCTTGATCCATTGGGCTTCACCTTTTCCTTCTTTCCTTCTTTCTTTCTTGCTTTTTGTACTTTGGGGTTTTGCCTGCTTGTATGCCTGTGAGAATGCCAGATCCCCTGGGATTGGGGTTAGAGTAGTGAACTGCCATGTAGGTGCTGGGAATTGAACCCAGGTCCTTTGGAAGATAGCCAGTGCCTGAGCCATCTCTCTAGGCCCAGGCTTCACCTCTTAAGTGTTTTGTCACCTCCAGTAGCTCTATAGGTTGGTGACATTCTGTAGCACCTGCCCCTTTGGGTAAATTGAATATCATTCATAGAGAACTTAAAAGTTGTATTTGTTTGCTATAGCTGGAATGACAGAATCCCACTGAAAGGGTTCTTGAACAACAGAAATCTTCTCATAATTCTAGATTCAGGCAGTTCAAGACCAAAGCACTATTGGGTTTTGTTTTTTCTGAGGTCTCACAGAAATATTTGTGTGCTGAGAGCTCTGGTTGCTCATTTTAGCTTAATCAGCTCATCCTCATATACAGTTGAGGACTAGAGGTTTGGGCCCACATCATATAAAATTGTAGATGATAAAAGATACAGTTCAGTCCATAATAATACACAGGTGGTGTTGTGTGTGTGTGTGTGTGCTATAGCTGTATTGGAACTCACTGTGTGGGCCAGGCTGACCTTAAACTCACAGAGATCCTCCTACCTCTGCCACCCGAGTGCTGGGATTAAAGGTGTGCACCACACTGCCTGGCCAATAATACATAGTTTTTCAAAGCTGCCTCATGGTCTTTATAAAAAGCCAGTTGAAACAAGCAGTGGTGATACTATTCCAAATTATAGTGTAAAGTGCTAGAACTTCAGACTGGTTTTTCTGAATTCAAAATCCATAGTCTTTTTTTTTTTTCTCAATTCATTTTATATATCACCCACAGTTCCCCTTCCCTTCTCTATTCAGAGAGGGTAAGGCCTCCCACGGGGAGTCAAAGCTTGGCATATCAAGTTGAAGCAGGACCAAGCCCGTCCTTGTTGCATCAAGGGTATTGGCTTTAAAAAACTAGTTCATGCACCAGGCATAGATCCTGGTCACACTGCCAGCAACCCCACAGAAAGACCAAGGCACACAACTGCCACCCACATTCAGAGGCCTAGTTTGGTCCCCTGCAGGCTAGATTTCATTATAGATGGTTGTGAGCCACCATGTGGTTGCTGGGAATTGAACTCATGACCTCTGGAAGAAGAGTCATTGTTCTTAACCTCTGAGCCATCTGTCTAGCCCTCCAGCCCACATTTCTCATTCTTTATCTCTGACTTTAATATTTTAAGAACTGATAAGATTGGTGTGTGATATATGTGTATGACATCAGCATTTCTAGAGGCCACATTTAATTAGAAATGCTTGTTGTTAAAGGAGTATGTGCTCATTAATATATAAAGTAGTTTAACTGTATCAGTGTGAAAATATATTCGCAGTTGCTTTTTACTTAACCCTAAAATAGGAGAGATTTTATTAAAATCCCATAAGTCTAATGATTTAGTTGCTAAATTGCAAATAAGCCTAGATTCTGCAGTTTAATTTTTCAAACCCACTTTGCAATTTAAATTTTTTCTTTAAATTTATTTTATATGTATGTGATAATTTCTGCTTGTGTATGTACCACCTGTGTGCCTGGTACCAAGGAAGCCAGAAGAGAGTGCCAAATCTCCTGTAACTGGAGCTACAGAAAATTGTGAACCACCTTGTTGGTGTTGGGAACTGAACCTGGGTCCTCTGCCAGACCAGTGAATGCTCTTAACTACAGAACCAACTCTCTAGTTCCTATTTATTTTTAGGTAGAGTCTCATGTAAGCACAGACTGATCTCAGTTTCCTTATAGAACTGTAGGATATCGTTGAATTTCTAATCCTTTACCTCCCAAGTGTGTGCTAACAGACTCAGTTTCTGCTCAGCTCTGGTTAAACCTAGGGCTCCTTGCATGCTAGGCAAGAACTCTTACCAGCCCATTTATATCTCTGCTCCTGAAAGTTATTATTTTCTTTTTCTTTTTTGGATTTTCAAGACAGGGTTTCTCTGTGTAACAGTCCTTGCTGTCCTGGAACTAGCTCTGTAGACCAGGTTGGCACAGAGATCTGTCTGCATCTGCTTCCTGAGTGCAAGAATTAAAGGCATGCACCACCAAGGCCTGACTATTTTATTCTTAATTTAATTTTTTCACTAAATAACCAGATTAGTTTTGTAATTATTCACTGTTTTTAATGTTATTTTTAATATATTTTAATTAAAATATAATTATATTATAATTAAATATAATCACTTGCCTCTTTTCCTTTGTTTCTTCCATTTCCATCCTCTCTCATGTCTCTTCCCTTCTACTACCAAGCTTCCCCACATTGGTAACTCCTTTTTCTTTGTTATATAAAAACACACCCTGTTGAATACATTTTTGTTGTTTGTGTGTATGACTTCAGGACTGAACTTTGCATTGAAAAGCCATTTAGGGGGCTCATCCCTTGGAGAGGCTAATTCTTCTCAACTGTCTTCAGTTTCCTGGCTGCTCTGAAACTGACTATGTAGACTAGGCTAGCCTTGAATTCACAGATATCTGCTTGTCTCTATCTTCCAAGGAATAAGATTAAAGGTATGCACCACCACACCTGGCCTCAATTTTTCTTAATTAAAATTCTCTTATTTATTTGGGGGAAGGTTTTACTGTGTAGGCCTGGCTGACCTGGATCTTGATATGTAGACCCAGACTGGCCTGGAACTGCTGTGTGGACCAGTCTGGCATAAAACTCAAACAATTCTTCTTCCTTTGTATCCCAAATTCTGGGATTAAAGGTACAGGCTTTTACACCTGACCCATTAGAAAATTTTGAAGTGCCATTGAAGAATATTTTTGTTGGTTGAGATACTGTTTTTTCCTCCCACAGTTGCGGTCTTGCAGTAAGAGCGAGCTGATATCTAAGAGCTCAGAGATCCTAATGATGTTTCAGCAAGTTCACCGAAAACCCATGGCATCCTTTGTTACTACACCTGTTCCACCAGACTTTACCAGGTTAACAGTTTAAAAATTTTATTTTCATTTTAAGTTTGAATATATAAAGGTATGCACTTGAATAAGCTATTTTTTTCTTTTCCTTTCTTTTTATTAAGCAGATCAAATATAGATTTATTAAGGAAACATGAGAAAATATCCTGGAGAATGGAAGTGGCTTCAAGAGATACCGAATAAACTATTTTTCTCAACTCATTAAGAAATAGTCTCATATAGCCAAGGGTAGTCTTAATTAAACTCACTAAGTAACTGAGGCTGGACTTGAACTTCTGATTCTCCTATGTCCACCTCCTAAGTGTTGGAGTTACAGGTGTGTGCTAACATTACTAGCTAACCATCTCCTTTTAAGGTACTGTTAATAATCACAGTGATATAATCTGGTAAACTCATAAATCTGATCTCAAAATGAAAGGCCTCTGAGATGTCCCAGTGGGTAAAGGCTCTTTTACTTCATGTCCTGAACTGGTTTACCAGAATCTACTTGGTGGAAAGAAGAGCATAACTTTTAAGACTGTGATGGCCTCACACTTTTGGTTGTAAAGGGAAACTGAAAGGGAATTAGAATGTCTCTTTAATTAAAGCTCCATTTTCCATAGAAAACAACTATCTTACTGACTTCATGGGTGTCTACACTTCCTGTCTTTCCTTTGTATATGGGTTAGGAAGTGGTTTCTTAGTGCTGTGGTGCTCTTGAGGGCCAGAGGACAGCTTTGATCTAAGGAATTGAATTCTTAGGGTCTGGTTTGGCAGTAAGGGCCTTTACTGCTTTGCCCCCTTGAAGGCCTAGTCATTCTTTCTTTATTTGCCTTTTAAATTAATGTGTATCTTGTTAATCAAAACTTAAATTTAGATAGGATACCAAAAAGTTATAAAGGTGACTTAGTATCTCCAGATTTTAAGAGAAGTGGAAGGAAGCAATTAATAGAAAAAGCTTGCAGCTGGTTGGTGGGGCACGCCTTTAATCCTAGTACTTAGGAGGCATAGGCAGACAGATCTCTGTTAGTCCAAGGCCAACCTAGAAAACAAAGTGAGTTCTAGGACAGCCAGGACTGTTTGTTACACAGAGAAGCCCTGTCTCAAAAACAAACAAAAAACAAAAAAAGAAAAAGAAAAGAAAAAGTTTGCAATCTTGGTACCTTTTTTGATTTTCAGTTTGGGCCAATTCTTCAAATTCTTTTCAACACCATATGTAGAGTCACACTGTGTCATTAAACTATTAAAAATGAATTTTTATTACCCCAGAGACAAGGTTTTATTGTGTAGTCTTCACAGGTCTAGAACTTGCTGTATAGAGCAGGCTAGTCTCCCTCTGCCTCTTGGGTGTTAGGATTAAGTTTGTGCACTACACCTAGTTTAGATTAGTGGTTTTTTTTTTTCTTTGTTTGTTTGTTTTTGTTTTTGCTGTAGCCTTGGCTGTCCTGAAACTCACTCTGTAGACCAAGCTGTCCTCAAACTCAACAGAGATCCATCTTCTGCCTCCTGAGTGCTGGGATTAAAGGTGTGCTACACCATTTCCCAACTAAGTGGTTCTTATCAGCATAACCATCATTTGGGATTCTCTTAAAAATTGTTCTGTGGTGGCACACACCTTTAATCCCAGCACTCAGGAGGCAGAAGCAGTCGGACCTCTGTGAGTTCGAGGACAGTCTGGTCTACAGAGTGAGTTCCAGGATAGTCAAAAGCTACACAGAGGAAACCCTGTCAGGGTTGCAGGGGAAGAGAGAGATGGCTGAACGGTAAAGAGAGCAGAATTTCATCCACATGACCCTAGTTGAGTTCCCTGCACCATATCAGATGGTTCATAGCTACTTTTGATGCCAATCTCAAGGGAGCAGTGTCCTTTCTTGGTGCTTTTTTTCTCTGAACCTCTTCCAGGCAGCTCTTCTGATCTCCAGGAAGAGTGACTCTCCAGGTTCTGTTGTTTACTCTTGGAAGGAAGAGGCCTAGTGAATCTGGTCAGCTACAGGGACTTCCTGAAGCTATTTTGAATTATTTACTCTGTTTTAAGGCACTTTCCTGGGAGATGTCATATCTCAGTCTTGGAGGAAATTGCTGCATGATACTGCATCTGCCCTGGAAGAGCCTTGTCATGAGGCCGGCTAGTCTAGTCGTGAAGCTTTAGTTTGTTTGTTTGTTTTTGTTTTGTTTTGTTTTTGTTTGTTTTTCATTTAATACTTTATAGAGTGTAGTGGTGCACACTCTTAAAATCTCAGCACTTGGGAGACTGAAACAGGATGATTGATTATCCTGGGCTATGTGAAACAAAACTCATAAAAGAATGGTCTAGTGTATATGAATGAAAATTTTACCTTGTTTAGACAAGGAAGTGATTTCAGCCAGAATTTAAAGCGTTGTTTATTATCGGGCATTGTAATGAGAAAACAGCTTAGGTGTCCTCAGAGAGGACATAAAGATAGAGGAGATTGTCAGTCTATAGTCAGGTTTAGATATCTGGGAGGGATGGTCAAGTTGGGAAGGGAAACTAGATTTTATGCAGCCCTTTGGGTCCCCTCTCCCTTTGTTCGTGGTGATCTGATAATGTTAGTGATCTAAACATTTAAAGGTATGTTACTTGCAGATTGCCAGGATAGAGATAGTTTGAGGCTACTTTCCCATACTCTGTGAAAAGAGATGAATTGACACTCCTATGGTGTGAATCTGTTTATAAGGACCAGAGTCATTTCAGGAGGACAGATAAGGGAACCGATGAAATGCTAAAGCAGTGCTGAGACAGAGATCCTAGGATCAAGGCTGGTCTATGCTCTATGCTGTGCAACCTGTCTTTACAGAAGTTCCATAGCACTAATCCGTTACACTACTTATGTGTGGAACTTTGTGTATTCAGAAATACACATGTTCTGTGCTGGTGGGTTTCTGGCAACAGGACACAAATGTAGATATAGCTGGGAAGTGGGAGTTAAGTTGAGAAAATTTCTCTTTGTCATTGGCCTCTTTAGGACATTTTCTTGGTTAATAATTGATGTGAGAGAGTCTTGGCTACTGGGTAGTGCCACCCCTTGGCAGGTGGTCTTGGTGGTCTAAGAGCAAGCTGAGTGAGCCACGGGGAGCAAGGCAATAAGCAGCACTCTCCCATGGCCTCTGTGTTAGTCCTGCCTTCCAGGTTCCTGCCCTGAGTTTTCTGCCTTGATTTTCCTCAGAGATGGAGTAAAATTGTAAGCTAAATAAAACCAAGTTGCTTTTGGTCATGGTGTTTATTACAACAATAGAAACCATTAAGACATAGAGAAATATCACAGTCTCCAAATAAATGAATTTTTTGTGCTCTGAATCTGGCTCACAGCAAAGACAACACATGTCAATGGAATAAGCACATAGCAAAAGAAACAGCATATAGATCAGACAACAGGATAGTTTACATTTTGGAGGATATAGTGAATTGGTGGGTAAAATGACCAACATATGATTATATATTATTTTGGGTGATAGCCAAAAACATTTCTTTAGGTTGAAATTTGAAAACTGTTTTTAAGATGATCCCTTTAGAGTTCTCATTAAGTTTATGGTCTTTTAAAAAATTTTCCAGGTACTAATTGCATTGGTCTCACTAATTGAGGTTTTATATGTTGAGTGATAGAATACATAATTGGGAAACATTGGAGCAGGCCTCTGCATATTTGACTTCTTATGAAGGAGTAGGCAAGAATCATCGGGCATAGATCCATAGAGATGTGGCTGGCATGTGTGCCTTCTAAGAAGTGCCAACAGCTGCCTAGGGATTTTATAGGAGTGCTTGAGAAGGTCAATTTGGATAGGTACTATGGATAACACTCATAGGACAAAGTACATCTTCTTGCTCTGGAAAATATGTGATATATGGATAATTTCCTCTTTTATTGTTTTTGGGATAGGGCCTTATATAACCTAGGCTAACCTCAAACTTGCTATTTAACTGAGGCTAGATTTCTGCTGCTACCTTTACCTTCTAAAAACTGCATGCATGATTGCCTTATCAACTTTTGATAAACTTTAGAATTTTTTTATTTGTACTAAACATGTTCTTGCAAATCACCAATTACTGTAGATATAGTCTATCTGAAGGTATGGTGAAAATGATTTTCAGTCTATTTTGTTCAATTTATAATCATACCAAACTTATGGCAACATATTATAATGTTGTATATATTACAATTTTATGTTAAATGATGTTTTAATGACAGTGCCACAAACTATCCCCATGGTCTCAGGGTAGTTGACTGCAAGATATATTATCCTCTAGCTCATCCTATGTTTACAGGTTAGTTCTTTTTAGAGAAGATTATATGGAATTTAGACTAATTGATGTCATCCTACCTTTCCAAGAATGTCTTACTGTGCTAACCCATATCAGTTATCCCCTCAATTATATATTCTAATCTTTTAATAAAAGTGTAGGAAAGCTATAGCCATAGCTCAGTGATAGAGTTGATAGAGTTATTGCCTGACATGCTTGAGGGTTCCAACAAAATAACCAAAGTGTATAGGGGGTATTTGCTAGTAAATAAGCTTGAAGTAAATATTTGTTGTATTTTCATTCTAATTAGAAACTCGTTATGGTTTATGAAGAACTGCTTTGATTTAATGCTCTGTTTAATCAAGATTTTGAAATATTTTACAGGTGCTACTGCTGTCAAGTTTTCAAGATAATTCCAAGGAACTTACTTTTTAAAAAAATTTTATTTCATTTTTATTTTCGAGACAGGGTTTGTCTGTAGCTTTGGAGCCTGTCCTGGAACTTACTCTATAGACCAGGCTGGCCTCGAACTCACAGAGGTCCACTGCCTCTGCCTCCTGAGTGCTGGGATTAAAGGTGTGAGCCACCACAAACAAAGCTTTTTTTTTTTTTACTTTATTTTTTAACTAAATGTAAATTGTAAATTAAGGTCATTGATTTTTTTTTTTCCTTTTGTTCTTTTTAGTGAATTGGTACCATCTTACGATTCAGCTACATTTGTATTAGAGAACTTCAGGTAAGAGGTTTTAAGAATTCTGGGTTTTTCTTGTGTATTTGTGTGCAGAAGTAAGAGACAAGTGGTCTTATGTGGTAAGATGAGCTAATAAGGTCCCTGACTAAAGTTTCCTGTTAGAAGCAGAGCTGGTCTGGAGAGCCCATGCTGGGCGTCATTTCTTATCTCAGAGGGAAGACATGTTTGGATTTCAGAGTTTAAAATGTTTGCACATAGAACTGCATGTGGTGATGCACAACTTTAATCCCTATACTCTGGAGGAAGGGGCAGTCAGATATCTAAGTTTGAGGGTAGTCTGGTCTACAGAACAAGTTCCAGGACAGTCAGGACTACAAAGAGAAACCCTGTCTCAAAAAAACAGGGAGAAAAATGCATATAGATAATGAGATATCTTGGTTATGTAAGATTCAATCTAAAGCAAAATGTATTTCTGTTTCATGTATACATTATAACATATAACCTGAAGGTAATTTCATAGAGTATCTTCAATGGCTGTGCATGAAGTTGGGAATACAGTTTTCTACTTGATGACCTCCTTGTTCAATTTCTTTTGGTTTTGCGAGGCAGGGTTTTTCTGTAGCTTTGGAGCCTGTCCTGGACCTAGCTCTTGTAGGTTAGGCTGGCCTTGAGTTCAGAGATCTGCCTGCCTCTGCTGCACGTGACAGCACTGCCAGGCTCTTTGTTAGATCTTTAAAGTTTGTTTTTTTAAGATGGGGTTTCTCTGTGTAGCCCTGGTTGCCTGCATTTTATTCCTTAGACCAGGCTTGCCTAGAACTCAGAAATCTGCCTGCCTTTACATCTTGAAGACTATGATAAAAGGTGTGTGCCACCCTTGCCAGCTTTATAAATATATTTTTAAATTTTACTTTGTTTTATGTGTATGGGTGTTTTGCCTTTGTTTGTGTATGTGCACCATGTGGATACTTGGTGCCAAGGAGGCCAGAAGAAACCATCAGATCTCCTGGAATTAGAGCTGCTGTGCTGGGAATTGAACTTGAGTTCTCTGGTAGTGCAGCAAGTGTTCCTAACTGCTGAGCTATCTCTCCAGTTGCAAAGGAATTTTTTGTTACTGTTTTTGTTTTTCGAGACAGAGTTTCTAGGTGCAACAGCCCTGGCTGTCCTGAACTTTATAGACAGGATTTCACTATATACCCAGCTAACCTTGGAACTTCCTATGTAGACCAAATTGGAATTAAAGGAATGCACCATTGTACTGGTCTAGAAGTAAATATATGAAATCACAAAGACTATAAGAGACTTCAAGGACAGGACAAAAAAGGGAACTTAAAATATGAGATCTTTGAGAAATACTGGGAATAGGTGTGCTGGTAACTAAAAAGCCATACTTGTGCCATCTGTTATTCCCCTGTGGTGGGGATGGGTGGTGGTGGTATGTGTGTTTAGTATATGCTTGTATGGCTTCATGTGTGGAGGTCAGAAGACATCCTTAGGTGCTACCCATCCTTTTTGTTTTTAAATTCTGTGTGTCTGTCTGTGAGTATACACAAGTGTGAGTGCAGTTTTCAAGGAGTCCCGGAAAGGGTGCCAAAGTCCTTGGAACTGTTATAAACTACTTAATACAGGTGCTAGAAACTGCACGTAGATATTCTGAAAGAACAATAAATGTCCTGGAGTCTTCCCAAATGCATTAGGCTGGCAGACCATCAAGACTCGGATGCATATGCCTCCATTTTCACAGTTTGGACATTGCCAGTGCAAGCCACCATTCCTAGCAGCTTTTAACTTAGTTTGTGGGGATTGATTTAAGTACTTGTGCTTGCGGAAGGCCTTAACTGAGTTGCCTCCTCAGCAAATTTTGTCTGTTTTTAATGGTGTAGTTTTGTAGCTAAAATCTTGCTGAATTTCCCCTACAAATATTAAGGGTTGACACACATTCTTATTTCGCCATTAAAAGAAATGTGCTATACAGAAATTATCTGTTTCGTTTGTTTAATAATTTTTGGTGCTTAATATTGAGCTAAGACTGCACATGCTAAACACATGCTGTACCATTAAGTTATTCTCCCATGTTTTGTAAAAAATGCTTACTGAAGCAGAATTAAATTTGGAATACTTAGTGGTACTCTGTTTTCCCTTAAATGGCAATTTTTGAGTTTTTGTTGGGTTTTAATTATGAAGTAAAAGATACTGCTAAATATTTCGGTATCATTAGTGCATATGTAAGTTCCTCCAGGCTTATTTAGAGAGTCTGACTTGTTCAGTCACCTTCTGTTGTTCAGTATTTTACATATTATTTTAAGGTATGTAGTTGCTTTTTGGTTTCGCTTGTTGCCATTTCACAATAGTTTTGATGTTGGAATTTGGTTGGTTTTCTTTCTTTTTAGCACTTTGCGCCAGAGAGCGGATCCTGTTTACAGCCCACCTCTTCAAGTTTCAGGACTTTGTTGGAGGTTAAAGGTTTACCCTGTAAGTTTTTTATATTTCTAAATTTTCAACTTAATTTTGAGATTTGCTTTAATTATACTAGTTTACTTAATAGAGTATGGAAACTGGCAATTTTCTGTTTATGCCATTTATTACTAAATATGTACTAAGTGTGTTAAATATGAATACATAAGCTCCAACATCACTAAATTTTATTTCTAGTTTATAATGAGATAAATATGTGTGGAAGACAGTTTTAGGGACTAGAGAGATGGTTCAGCAGTTAAGAGTGCTGTTGACTCCCGGGACCCATGTGGTAGTCATACTACCATCTGTGACTACAGTGTGACTCCCTGCACCCATGTGATCTGTGACTACAGTTTGACTCCCTGCACCCATGTGGTAGCCCACACCATCTGTGACTACAGTTTGAAGGGATCTTTCGCCCTCTTCTGGCTTCCAAGGGCACCAGGCACACATGTGGTACACATATATGTAGGCAAAACCTTCATACATATAAAATAAAAAAAAAAATTTTAAAAAAGTTTAAATTTTTTTCCCCCTGTGTAGCCCAGGCTGTCCTGGAACTCTCTCTCTAGACCACACTGGCCTCAATTCAGAGATCCACCTACCTCTCTCTCCCAAGTGCTGGGTTTAAAGGCTTGTACTACCATGTTGCCTAGCTATATTTTATTTTAATTTCTATATTTTATTTTGTATGTTTGAGCGTTTGCTTGCTTGTATGTAGGTGCATCACAATGGTACCTGGTTAAGAGGATGTTGGATACTTTGGAACTAGAGTTACAGCTAGTGGTCAGCCACTATGTAGGTGCTGGGAATTAAAAGTTCTTTAAAGATCATGAAAAGGAAAAAAAGATAACTTAGAGTTGTCTTGTAGCTCAGTTGCAGAGTCCTTATCTGCCATGCAATACCCAGCACCCCCCAAAAAAATCACAGGTACTAAAAAACATTAAAAAAATGTTGATTGGATTTAACTGACGGTTGAATTTTAAATTAAATTTAAATGAAATAAAAATTAAATACTAAATTTTAGATTAAAGTAAATATTTAAATTAAAAAAATTATTTTAAAAATTATTTTTATATTTTATATGAATGAGTGCCTATATGTGCCCTGTATGTATATTTGTGCCTATATGTATATTTGTACCCCTTATAAGCATAGTGCTCTTGGAGGCCAGAAGAGGGCATAATAGTAAAATATAATCAAATCAGAAGTTTACAACATCCTGCAGATGTTGTAACTGGAACTGGGCTTACGAGTGGTTATGGCCCACCCTGTGAGCGCTGAGAATTGTACTTGGGTCCTTTCCATGAGCAGCATGCTCTTAATCACTGAGCCGTCTCTCTAGTCCAAGCCTAGACAGGGTCTTACTATGTTACCCAGGTTGACCTAATCCTTAATCTGTAATATAGGTTAATCTAGAGCTCATGATTCCTCTGCAGTAGCATTCTGAATTCTGGAATTACCATGATGCCTAGCATTAGGTACATTCCTTTAGCAAGAATTAGTGTTCTTTTATTATGAAATGTCTTGTGTTTCCTTTTGTGGTATTGATGGTCATTTTCTGTGTCATTTAATGGTTGTAATGCTTTCATAGTGAGATGTTTCCCTTCTATTATTTGGGTACCTACTATCACCCATCTCTCTCTTTCTCTTCCAATGTTTTTGTCAGATTTTCTTCAGAAAGCTACAGGTTTAAGTATTATGAACTATTGGATCTTTATACAATCTCACTGATTATGAGTTAGTGCACATTTCTTGCCACGATTTTAGTAGATGTAAGTGATTCTAGCCATTTCTTTTACTTCTCGTGTAGGATAAGTTAATCTAGGATCATTCTGTGTATTTGTGACTTTATGTCATAGTCACATCATTTTTCCCATTTTTTCTTGTAATTTTTTTTATTTTATTTAAACTTTTGAGCATTTATTATTTTTATGTGTATGGGTGTTTTATCTGCCCATGTGTATCATGAGCCCCCATGTGGGTGCTGGAATCAAAACTATGGTCCTCTGGGTGGGCAGCCAGTTTCTGTTAGGGGCTCATCCATCTACCCCGCCCCCAAAAAAGCATGAACAACACGGTGTGGCTTCAAAGCTTTTCAACTTGCTAGGCACTATTCACGAAGAGCAGTCTGTTCTTCACAAGCTGACAGTGCAGGAGGTCTTCCCAGCCAGGGGTTTGTTTCCTCAGCAACCATGGAGCATTTACTTCTTTGAAACTGAAAGGACATTTCATGAATTTTGCCAAGTATGTCTGTACATAACCATACTTTTGGTTCTGACTGAGTTTATAATGATATAGCAAGCAAAGTTAAAGAGTAAATAGCAAGTTGCAGATAGAGAGATGGAGAAAAATAGTAAAATATCATCAAATCAGGAGTTTAGAACATCCTGCAGATAAAATAGAGTAACGTGACTGAGAGAGCAAACAAATTTAACATCTAGTTGGAGGCATAAAGTGAGCTGCTAGAGCTTAGTGAACCAGTGAGTTTATTGGAACTGGAGAAGTATAAATGAGGCTTTGCTTAGGAGAGAGAGAGGTGGGTGGCTCAAAAGCAGCTGCATCACTGAAAAGCCCACAAGTGCAGAAGTTGCATCCCTCGAGCCCCTTGCATGTCTTGCGGGCAGTGGAATTGTGGGAGAGTCATCTTTATGCAACAACTGTTTGCTGCATCAGTAACCATGAGAGAGGGCTTATGGATTTTTTTATTTGTTTTGTTTTTTAAGACAGAGTTTCTCTTTATAGCCTTGGTTATCCTGGAACTCACTGTAGACCAGGCTGGCCTCGAACTCACAGAGATCCACCTGCCTCTGCTTCCTTAGTACTGGATTTAAAGACGTACACCACCACCACCCAGCTGAGTCTTAGAAACTTTAATGGAGCTCTCCAGGGTGGTATGTTTCAATTTGGAGTACATGGCAAATTCCAACAATCTGGAGGCAGAGCAGAGACAGGTAGATTTTTGTGTTTGAGACCAACTTGGTCCATGGGTTAGTTTAGGGCTAGCCAGGACTAAGCAATGAGACCCCCATCTCAATAACAAAAGCAGAGGCAGGGTTTTGAGTTTGAGTCAAGCCTCAGTCTTATAGTGAACTCCATGCTAGCTTCCCCTAGTCCATGAGATCCTGTCTCAAAACAATCAACTTTGAAATGCTCAGCTTTTTTTTTTTAAAAGGCTCCTTTTTTTTTTTCTTCCTCGCTTCTGATAGGTTCTATTCTACATTCTGTTTCTCTGAATTTGACTCTTGTAATACTTAAGTGAAATGAATCACATAGTAATTTATTATGCCTGGCTTATTAGGCCCATCATAATGAGCATTAATATTCTTGTCCTTAAGGTTCATCTTTTATTTTTGGTAGCATAGAATTTTCATTCATTGATAAAGACGAATCCCAATATGTGCATTTCACATTTTGTTCATGGATTTTTTTTTTCTACTGAGCCATTGTTCTACTCCCCTCCCCCCTTTTCTTTTCTTTTTCTTTTTTTCCCAAGTTCCCCCCAACCTCCCCTTCTCACTTTTCTCTCCCCATCTCCCCTTACCTCCCTCCCCCCCTAATCAGGAGGATAGCTATATATTTTTCTTTGGGATCACCTTATTTAGCTTCTTAAGGAGATCAAATTATAGACTCACTGACCTTTATTTATCTCTAGAAACCAATTATGAGTGAGTACATCCCAAGTTCATCTTTTTGGGTCTGGGTTACCTCACTCAGGATAGTGTGTTCTATTTCCATCCATTTGCATGCAAAATTCGAGAAGTCATTGTTTTTTACCGCTGAGTAGTATTCTAATGTGTAT